CACAGATAGCACCTAATCCACAAAGGGAAACAGGGAAGGCGGCAGCACAAATTGAACCACCCAAAGCACCCTTCTTCCTTCCCACTCCAGCTGCTGGGGAGCAGGTGGACACCCATTTTGGTTCCACTGAAAATGACCACCATGGCCATTACAGGCAAACAGGTAGCTTTGTCCCAGTTTATTAGTGAAATGCAACGTATTATACAATTAGCTAATGAGAAACATGAATTACATCCAAGCTCCGGGTTTCTGGTGCATTGGTTATCGTAGGCAACTGGTTCCATCATAAGCCACACTTTTGTACCAGGCTCTAGTTAGTGGACTTTGGGGCTCTACTGAAAAACAAAGCATATTTAGCAAGTCTAAATTCTGCCCACCTGTGTTTAAACTGCTTATTTTATTCAGCTTAGGCTGCTGTTGTCTAGCCATCCCAGATATATATCTGTCAAAGCAGCACAGCATTCTAGCTGGAGTCACATTAGCATTCCAGAGACAGGAATACAGCAGACATTTGGGTCTGATAAATCAGACATGCAAATAAAGCCAGCTGGAAGACCAATCAAAAACAAAACAAGCTGATTTGCAAGCAGTGGGCGGTGTAAAAAAACTCCTGCTGTGACAATCAGGAGTTTTCACTACATAAGGTATTCTGTCTTTCAAAAAATGTGATTTCTGTAACACTAAGTTTAACTTTTAGTGTCCCCTTACCTTCTCTCAAAGATTGCTGAGTTGTACTTACCTAGCTTGTACATCAATTAGATCCCATGAGGGGGGGAAAACCCCTCCTGAAATTCACACATAATGTTGTGTTAAGTTGGGGCACGGGGAGAAGGAAAAAGAGGGACAGAGAACTGCATGTATGATTTTTTTTTTAAGAAATAAAATTTGTGTCCTATGTTATGGGCCTACTTTTAAAAATGGTCCAAGATCTAAAAAGACCCTTGATTCACCTTTTCCTATCAGAATTAGCAAAGATCTTGGCATTCTTCCCCCACCCCCACCCCAATAACAAAGGCATAGCAACATTGCATGACAGTTGCAACCTAACAAGGGATAACTTTATTTCATCTGCAATTTTGATATTTATAATTTTCTAGTTATAAATACTGTATACGTCTTCACTAAAAAGTGGAGGAATAGCACCTGGTTCTAATGACAGCTGATACTGCCATTCATGCTGCCAGCTGGTGCTCTTTTGTGAATATTGTGGCAATAATGAAGTGGGCATGTGGAGTGTATACTGTGAACTACAGGACAACAGCTTGCACCATCCAATTAAGTATTTAAAAGTAAGTATTTCAGTTGTTCCTGAGAAAGAAGGAAGTAAAGGGCTACTTCTTTCTAACTATACTGATGACGGTAATTAGCAGGCGCAGTACTTAAAGATGTAATGAATCACTTGTTAAAAGGAACTTTTCAGGCAAGAGGAGAAGCCGAAAAGGCAAAGCCACGCTGAGCTCTCCCTGTGAGGACATGACATTGTCTTGGCATCCCCTTTCCCTGCTCCACATGATTGGCGGCAGTACTGGGGTTGGGAAGGGCAGGGGTAGAGAAATGGGCAATGTGCTGCTGTAAAATCACCACAGATTCCCATAAATACACCCAGGGTTGCCATTTTTAGTAACAACCTTGCATTTATTATCACATCTAGTGATAATCTAGCACCCTTAGAAGATGCTGCCATCTCAGACTGGATTGTCTTTCCAACGCTGTTTGCAGCAAAGTTCCTCCGATACATTGAAAAAGCCTGCTTAGCTGACATCTTGTCATAGCAATACTTACAAAAAAAAAATAGTAACTGTGTGGAAAGGCCTTGGGTTTTCTTTTCAACCGGGATTTGTTGATCTTTCTCCCAGCGACAAATAAGGTTCCAGGCTCCAGAATGGCGAGCAGAGTCTGTACGTCAAGGACACAGGGCCTGCAATTTCTGGTGGATCTTGGCTCCCAGCCCAGCAGCCTGGTGCGCGATATAGAAACAAACCACCCTTTCTCCTCTGATAAGACTGCAAGAATGCAATTCTCCCTGACAGCTGAAGGTCAAAAGAAGAACACAGCTGAGCAGCCAAAACATGTCCTGTCTCTTTTTCCTCCTCTTTCCTAAGGGCTAGAAGGAACTTACAGCTGACCTTTATCTGATGGCATTCTCTTAAACTGCCCCCTCCCTCCAAGGAGCTGATATCTCCTTTGAGTTACACAACGACCCTTAGAGGTGTATGGATAAGGTTTGGCGTGTGTCATCCAAGTGGGCTTCTTGTGTGAATTTGAATCTGAACCCAATTCTTCTTGTTTCATGTCTAACACTCAGCTACACTGGCTCTTTCCTTTATGGGGTGCAGTTATTTCAGTTAGGAATAAGATTTAGGATTAGTAAAGATCTAGGATTGGTAGAGTCATAGATTGATGCATCATGAATCAACAGGGAAATATACTGTATTATGTTTGGGCCCCTTTGGGGTATATTAGGCAAAGGAGTAAGATATATCAAGTTCACAGATGTTGTGATGAGTGTGTGGTTTTCACTGGAAGGGCTTGTGTTCTGCTGTAGCAGAATCAGATGCTGTTCTTCTGAGGGCAGAGTCTGCAGGCAGTGAGAAAGGTGGGTGTGGGAGGAGGAGGAGGAGGAGGAGGAGGCACTTGGGGGAAGGATGCAGGAATGCCACCTGCACCCCCTTTGCGGCTGTTTCTGCTTAGAGGAGAGGGAGAGGAAGAAGGCAGCCAACAAATAACACTATGATCCCCCTGCCCCCAAACAGAATCCATCACTCTCTCAAGGAGGTGGCAGAGATGCCTCTGGTTCCAGGTGGGACAGGTAGGAGTGAACCTCAGGCATGCCCCAGGGATGTCTTTGGCCTCTGCTTCCCCAAGGTGGCTGACATTTCCTGCTGGCACTCCCACTGTTCAGGGTCCAATCAGTATGTCTATTTCAGTCGTTTCCTCTAGTACTTAGGCACTGCTGACTGTTGGTGTGCATTCTTCTTATTTGGCACAGTCACTGGGGAAGGTGTCAGAAGACACAGAGAAATCCTTTAAATATGTCCCCCCCCCCATTTTTAAGGGACAAATAATGACTATGGAGCATTCATATTGACTGTAATGGAATTCCAGATATCTTGAAACTGTGAATTTTTAAACTTACAAATTCTGCATCTGGGGGGCTGTAATTCCAAATGTTAATTCCAATTCCAAATTTTAGTGCCACAGTGTCCTTTTTTAAAGTACTACAATGACATCAGCCTGCCTTTCCCTCTTCAGCCCCCAAAGGCCTTCCTTTGGCCAGCCTGACTTGACTTGTCAAACTCCCTGGTTTTTGAGACTTCATCTATTGTTTCCTGCAGTCTGTCTTGTCTATTTCTTTTCTCTTCCTGCTAGTATTTCCGACTGCCATTGTAAACTGCAAGAGTTTTAATGGCAAAGTGAGACTGTCAATCTCTTAAATAAACGTAATTACAATGCGGCAATGTTATTTATTTGTTCAGCATTTACCATATCATAATAAATGCTTTCCAGTGTGTGCCCACTCAGCCTGAGGTCCAGCTGCGAACCACAGATGGTCAACTTCAAGGCTTCTCTCTGCTCAGGGATCTTTATCTTTAAATCAGACATGGTCTGGGACCAGACAATAGTTTGAATCAAGGACTGTACACACAGCGTAACAGGATGCATGACTGCTCCAGACAAAATACAGGTCAATCGGTTTGAGAAAATCCAGTTTAAAAAAAGAAGGAATTACTTATAAAGTGAAAGTGAGGCAAATATCTGGCTGGGGTAGATATGAATTAGAAGCCCCCAAACAGGGGCTATATTTTTTTTTCAGAGGCGTTCTGTACTGTGACATCAGCTGAGGGCAAAGACACTCCTCTCCCAGAAGGCCCCTTCTCACTCGGGAAGAGTAGACATGATGCACACCACATACATATTGACTTTAAGGGATGCATTCAGATGACCAAAGGATGGGACCCATGACCTGTTTACCGGAAGCTGTCTCCCACTCTTCACTCTGTGGCTCGTTTATCATGCTGCCTGGTACTTCTTCTTCTCTGGTTTGTTTTTCTCTCAATAAAACCAGTGAAGGGAACCTAAAACAAACCCTGGATTCTTTCTCAGGTTTGTTACAACATACCAGAGAAGAGAGAAAGTCCCCATGTTTGGAAGAAGAGATAAAGAGACCACGGAGCAAAGGCTTCAGGCAACTGGTCCACGTGCACGGCAAGCAGGAGGAAAGGGACAGCATCCGTTTCATAAAGGATAAGCCAGCATTTCATTGGATCCCTGGAGAGCTATGCACCTGCCATTGGGGGTGGGGGGAGGATGGCAAAGCCATACAAGCCAGCCTAAGCTAACAGTGCCATGTGCCATAAGGAGTGCCGTATCAACCAGAAGGATTTCTTGGCACATATATTTGTAAAGAGGGGACAGGCAGCCATCATAGTTCTCCCTCGCCAATTGGGGAGGGAAGATAGTTCCCTTGTGCTTTTTAGGGGATGAAGAAAGTAGTTTTGCCATGTTTGCCTCTCCCCCCCAATCTTGAGCAACATTCCCTCCCTCCACTGTAATTTTAGTTGTTAAAACAAAAATTGGCTAACAAAGGTTTTGGGAGGGCTTTTTTAGTTTTTTTGTTTTTAGTAATAGAATTGGAGTGGTGGTCCTCCCTGGGACATGTCTGAGTGGGTGTGGGTGTGTATGGCGCTTGGACTGCTGGAGATTGCCTGATCCTAAAAACGGGAAACATGACCAGTAATAAATGCCCCTCCTCATTGCTAGGAGCTCTGTGATAATACTTCTGTGCAGACAGAGAATGTGTTCTGACAGATATGGAGCAAACATTTGTCAGGGGACATGGCGGTAAAAAACAGTGACAATGATGAGCAGGGCATGGAGAGAGACATAGCTAGTGTGGGGGGTTTAGATCACCACAACTTCACAGATTCATGTTAACACCCATCCATAGAATCATAGCATAATTGAGTTGGAAGGGGCCTATAAGGCCATCGAGTCCAACCCACTGCTCAATACAGGAATCCAAATCAAAGCAGGTTTGACAGATGGTTGCCCAATTTTCTCTTGATGCCTCCAGTTTTGAAGAGCTAACTACTTCCCAAGGAAATTGGTTCCGTTGTCATACTGCTCTAACAGTTAGGACGTTTTTCCTAATATTCAGCCAAAATCCAGATTCGTGTAGTTTGAGCCCATTATTATATGTACATTTGCTCTCACAAACACACACACTCATAAACGTATAGCAAGCCACACACATGGGACAGAAGCACCCCATCCCATACAGTCTACTCTCTCCCTGCCCTCTTTATTATTCTTTTTTCTGTCCGTTATCCCATTTTTGTCTGTCCTCTCAAATGCCAAAAGCTTTCTGTGGCCTTGTTTGGGACTTCCAGTGTTCATTTTACTACACACTATATGCATATTTGCAAACCTACCTTCACAAGCATACAGAGCAGACACACAATTTTGCTTTAAATAAAACAGATATTCTTAAGGGAGTGAATTCTGTGCCCAGAACAAACTTCTGCTTCTATGCAGCATGACTTGAGTCATATCCATTCCCAGGTATGGCCAACTGTGTTCAATCAAACTTACTCAGAGGGAAGCGAGCTTGGGATTGTCGCCCAAACCACAGAATAGATGCAGTCCTGCCTTGTGCAGGCATCAGTTATCTTGCAGGAAGCAATGAGATTAATTCAAGGGGCAAGGGCAAGGTGCACGGTGGAAACCTATACGTAACATGCAGATTAAGGTGATTCAGTGGCCAGAGTTCATGATGTGAGTTATATGGACAGAATGTATAAAAAGCACTGCAAACAAAAACCCACACCCTGGTCATTAAGATGAGTTCCAGGCAGGGTCCAACTAACAAACTGCTCCTGAGAGGACTTTTCCGCAAGGGGTCCGTGTTGGTTCTCAGCAAAAGGGAAAAAAGCTCTGCTCAGCCAAGGAAGCAAAAGCCCAACACAGAATGGACTTCAGCCTTCAGTCTTCTTGCAGCAGGTCCTCAGCTCCTAGCACCTGCAACCTTTCCAGGACACAGTGGGCTTGCAGGCGAGCCTCTGGGTCAGGGTCCCAGCAATCCTCTAGGAGCTCCTGCAACCCAACAGCAACCTAAGGGAAAGCAAGGCAAGGGAGACAGTGGTCAGCAGCAGACAACGTGAAGTTCTCAGGAGGTGGAGACTCTGGGTGGCCATATACACCTTGGCTAGTTTAACAGAATTAAATGATTCTCCAACATCTTGATTTGGGGGGAACTCATCTGCTACATCACTCTGTCCTACACATACAACTCTCAACCTCACCTCTGTGGTGAGCACCATGGTGACTGTGGGTCTCTGCCCCTCGCCCCTGGAGGGTCAACAATGGGCTCATCAATGGAATGGCAGGCAAAGCAAGTGCAGGCACCTCTTGCCTGCCACACCTATAGGTCAGAATGAGCAAGTAGTGGGTGTAAGCTAGGCAACCCAGGGCCAAAGGGCATGTTCTAGATAGCTAGTCATTGCAAGCTAAAATCCATGAATGTTTAAGACACAAGGTTCAAGTAGACCTTTGTAACTGAGCAGTCAACTTGCAGACAAAGCTTGTCTTCTCCTGAAGACCAATTGAAAAAAAAAAAAAAACACAAGCCAACTGGAAAACTCTGAGAGGTGTGAAAAGTTCCTGCAGTTCCTGCAGATACTCTCAGCACTTAAAGGAATTCCCTTTTCTAATGACAGGCTCTCTGTAACATATATAGTATAGTGGAAGAGAACAAAAAATAGGTGAAGGTTGGGTTGTATGGCTGCTGAGGCTAAAGACCTTTCATGCAAGGAGCAGAATCAAGTACCAACATTTTCCCTCAGGGAGAATATCACTTCCAGTTGCAGGTGGTGGGGTGAACTGCAGGTAGTGTGGTCTAGTAGTCAGAGGGTTAGACTAGGGCTCAAGAGATTTGGGCCCATATCTCAACTGAGCCATAAATCGCGTCGAGTGACCGTGGGTCAGGTGCTCTCTGTCAGTCTTTCTGTAAGAAGGCCTGCTGGGGGGCATGAGACAATGAGCTCTGCAAATGATGTATGACTGGGGATTGGACTCTCTACCTTGTGCTCAAAGCCCAGAATGAGATGAAAGACTGGACAGAGAAACCTCACCTGGGAGCTGGGAAATAGAGGGGAAAGACTTTATGGGAAAGGAGGAGCCAACAGGAGAGAAAGAGGAGGGATTAGAGAAAACCTGGGAAAGAGAAACAGGTAGAGGAAGAGAAAGGGCAGGAAAGAGGTGAGGTATAAAAGGAGAGGAGAGAGATAAAGGGAGCAGTTGGAGGAAGGAAAGGGGAACAGATATGCCCAGGGGGTCCTAGAGGACCCGTGGACTGGGGAATGGGCCACCTTCACTCTAACAAAGAGAGAGGCCGAAAAGATAGAAAATAGGAAAACTCCACTCAAGCTCCACTTATGGGGGAGAAAGGGAAAGACGAGAACAAAGGTGGTTAGAGAGAGCAGCCAAGGAAAGGACCTGAGTACAAGGTAATGGGGAGACATGGAAAGCAGCTGAACCCAGGAAGAAAGAGAGATGTCCCAAGGAAGGACCAGAGGGGGATTATTCCAAAGGAGCGATTGATGGAAGGGGAGCGGGCTCGCCACCCGTATTGTGGAATCCTCTTCACCTGCCAGCATCCACACCTGCATCCCTGGTCCGACTAGGAGAAGTTTCATGCGGTCAGACATTAGGTCCAGAATACTGTAGATGCATCAGCCATTTCAGATATGGAATTTGGTTTCTTTGCCTGTTACGATGAAGCCTTTGAGGCGGTGGAGAAGCAATTCCCCCTCTTTTTTTAAAATAAAAATGTTATTGTTAAATCAGAAGCTTCATCATCTGTGGGGGTGGGGAGAATTCAAGGACCTGGGTGTTGGATCTGAACCCAGTCATACTATCCTACTTCATAGTGTTGTTGTGAGAAGAAAGATATGTACCAAACAGATGCATTTTTGCCTTTAGAATATATAATGTAAAATAATTATAAATTTTGTAACATTGAAAATAAAGTGCACGTTTCCTCTTGAATCCTCAGAAATTCAAATCCACATTAAGGCATCTTCAGCTGAAATTGGAATATCTGAATGAGTCTGAGGACCAAGCTAGACTTTATGTTCACATAAATTGAAACAGTCTCACCTCATTTCTTAAAAAAGAGTTGCAGGCAGAGATTTTCTGCTCAAAGTCACAGCTTCTTGCCGCTATTTTTAGTTTGGTTGTTTTATTTTAATGTAGAAGTATAGTTATATATAAATCTATCTGATGTGTAATGTAGTCCAGTGTGCCTCTGGATTTAGTTATACTTGTGTTTCTTATTCTGCTGTGATATTGTACTGCTCTTTTTTTGTATTTTTTGTGCGTGGGGAGGGTTTCTTATGATGCATTGCTCTTTTGTTTTAATAATTTAACATCTGAAAAATGCAACTGATTAAATAAAATAATAATAATAATA